CTCACGTCACATCATTTTACCGAAGTCAGCCCTATAGCTTCGGCGCAGTGCCGATCACTGACGTTTGTCAACAAAATGGTGCTTGACTCTTGAGACAGGCTAAATTACACCATATTGTTAATCAGATTGAGCATACATTTTTTTAAATACCTTCGCGAAGTGAAACTCCTGTACGTAGTACTTATTATTATTCTGTGGTAATAGACACACAAAAAGAGACTGACAAACGTGACTGGGTTTCTTCCGCCACTTCTTCTCAGCACCAGCCCATATGTTGTCCCGAAGTGGTGGTAGGGCAAGCTATATTTGGGACGTGTATAAGTGCGCTGGAAAGGGCCTATGACTGAATGTACTGAGCAAACTTATTTATTTTAAAAAATCACAATACAACCCGATCGAGCAAACTGCACACCTCCGCGTTCGCCCCGCCCGTACCAGGGGGGCTACTCTGAAACGCTGTTTACGTAGTTTAGGGTCTATCTGTCACCGTTGCTCATGCTGGCATCTCTCTTCGTGTGAGAGGTATGGCAACATTCGAAACTTCGGATGACGGTTTTCGGAGTAACCCCGCAGAGCGTCGACGTGACGTCACTCCTGTCAGGTGCGCAGTTAACTCGACCGAGTTGTAATAAATCTTGCCGAAGTTTTTTTTTAATAGGCTCATAAACATAATAACAAGCCGCCTCTTTGCCAAAAATAAAAACACTTTTTAACTGTCAGTGAGTATTTGGTATTATTTACGATTGAACAACTAATTAATTAATAAAGAAGAAATTAGCTCTTTTACAAAAGTAGATAACTGCTTAAAAAAATTCAATTCGTCAATAATCTTTACTTTTTCTTTTTAATGTCAAATAAATATGTACAAATTAAGTATAATGTTCCTTATAAAATAGAAAGAGCACAATTTCGAATGGCTCCAAAATCCTTAATAATAATAATATGTACTTGTTAAGTTGTTTATTTATTTTAGTTGGATACCAGTCTTTGATACCATATTTTAATATTAACAATGAGTCCCAATTATTATCTTTATTGAATCCTATAGTATTACAACAATAGTGTTTCGTGAATTCCAACGAAAATAACTGAAATTGTATTGGTGTGATGAGACGTCAGTGAAATTCAAGCCTCAGTCTAACCTTTGCCTTCCTATCATGGTACGTTTCAAGTGCACGGTACCTTAGAAGGCACCACACACTGTCTCTGACCTTCACGTGCCGCGATATCACTGCCACTGCGGCGGACGAAAATAGATGCCTTCCGTATCATAGGGTTGGAATGACAAAAAAGATATTTAGGCATAATTTTGATGTAATTTATCATTGGTTTGAAAAATGCGATTGTTCATCAACGAGGTGGACTGACGACCTCATAAAGGTAGCAGGAAGGCGTTGGATTCAGGCCGCTACCGGGTCAATATGGAATTAATGGGGGAGGCCTATGTTCAGCAGTGGATGTCCTGTGGCTGAAATGACGATGATGATTGTTTGTAAATCGAAAGTTTAGTACTTTTCGAATATCAAAAGTGGATACAGAGCAGGACCGGTGTAGAAATCCTTGGGGGACTTTTGTCCAGCAGTGGACATCATTTGGCTGCAACGAAGAGTAGAGGACCAAAATATGATCCCTGTGGTACTCCTGGAAGTTATTCTAAAAACCATAATTATGTAACCAACCACTAAGTTACATGATAGAGGTATTATTTAGATATGAATTAGATTTTATAGATGTCACAAAGTACGAATAACCTCTAATAATGAAAGATTTTAAATTAATTTGCTATGAGAGGCCTTGTCCAAATCCGAAGATTTAACGATATAAAAGTAAACGATGTATTCGTTTAACGTGCTTAAATTTTTTGGCGATGTCTCCACCACTGCAGTAGGTGTGGGTAGACGGAAATAAGGTATTAAAGTGATTCTGGCAGGGAATCTTGGCAACACAGCTGGTGTGATACCATCGCAGTGCCAGTTGATGGCAGTGTTGCTGCTTAATAGAATCTCTAAATAATTTTTAAACGGTGAAAGTATCAAAAATTTGTATTTGTTCTGAAACTTCTTACGCCCGTATTCACAAACGATGCACAGCGTTGAATAGAGCTCTCTGATTGTTTCGTATCTCACCCTGTGCGTCCACGCGCACTGTGAGACCTGACCTCATAATAATGTTTGTGGATACGAGCGTTAAAATATGGTCATATTCGAAATATTGAAATTATTTACTATCAAAGTATCAATCATTCTGAATAAAGTGATGGTACTTCATTGACTTATATTCGAAATATTGAAATTATGAACTATCAATCATTCTGAACTGTTACTTATTTACTTTGAGCGATTGTAGTTGAAGCAATCATAAAATCTAAAGACAATAAGGTTTAAATTTGTTCAGCATTGTATTTTTAGAAACACGGCGCGTGTAGGCTTTTTAGTCTTAGCTCAAGGTCCGACTGCTTCAAAGTGAAAACAGAAATAACTGCATGTTCTGTTACGTCTGTAAGAATTTTTGAAATTAATTAGAGAATGGGAGCTTGACAGAGCGAAGTTTCATCGTCATCATCAACTCAGCTATAGGACGTCCGCTGCTGAACATAGGCCTCCCCCAATGCTTTTAAAAGTCAAAAGACTAAAAATGTATTTGACTCCAACTGAGCTAATTAGACACTTGATGAACCCGTCGAAATTTTCATTTGCTTAGTTTGGGATTAGAGGCGCAGTGTAAAATGTCCAAAGATTTTATACTAAACATATTAACTAACAATAACGTGAACAACTCAAAGAAATTATGGAAGAATCTCATAAGTACTGTCTGGCCAGACAAAAGGAAATCAGCTGACCTTCCATTTATTTATCAAGGGTAAAATTTTCCATTCAGTCATCGACCACCTGTTGAGTTGGTCATTAATTTTTCAAATAATTATATTCCATCGACGTTCAGTCTCCATCAGACTAAAACTAAAAAGTAAACGCAGCCGTGTCGCAGCTATTAGTATCGCCGTGCTCAATGAGGCATGACTTTCTTTTATGAAGATTATTCCGCTTGGAACCAGCGATTTGTATCTATTTAAAAAAAACGACAAACTGCTTGAGATCGACAATCGATTGTTAAAAAGAGATTGTGAACTCTTTAATGTTTGCTTATTCTATTAAACTAATTATTTAGCCCAAATAGAATTCGTATCATCATTCGCCGATATTGTGCGCTGCCAGTCAGTTAGTTCTTCTATCGATTTATTCTTGTAAAAAATTCATGCTTGTCACCTGTAAATTGATGATAATTTGTGTACTACAAGTTTTTATTATTGACGTTCCCAATATTGGAAGATTTGTTAGTAAGAAAAATGGAATAGTAGGTCTGCATGCATAGCTTGTTAGTTTATCTACAGATCGTTTCATCCACAAATACACGCCCCACCATTCTTCCGCTAATGTCTGAGTGTTATCGGTACACGCTAAATAATCCATGAGTGCACACGCACACTACAATAATGACGCTCGGATTGCTCGGATCAAACTCCCCGCACTCCGCGCGACTGAGACCAAAAATTGGTGGGGCGCGTCTTTGTGGATGAAACGATCTATGTCTTACAGTCCACTAGAGTTCTCAAATCTATAAATATCAACATAATATTCAATATCAAATACATTTTCGATAGGCACTCCCTTATCATATCCGACAAAACGATGAATAAAAACCTCCTGTGAGACATACCTTAAAGTCAAATAGAACTCGAAAGAAGTACGCCACAAGTGAAATCTATTTTCACAAAAAATACTCATAAAAAAGCAAAAATCACCTTGCTATAATGTTGCCAATATACATGAACGTGATAAATTGGAAATGTATCCTGTTGGAAACTGCACCTAGTGGTTCTTCTGATTAATTTCGTTACGGGTCCAATGACAGTTTAACTTTCCCCCGGGACAAACTTGACTTTCACTGGTTGGGTTTCGGCGGTCAAGCTGTAGATCCTGGCTACACAGGAGTTGCAGCGATGGGAACGAGAAATTGGCATTCTGTGAGACTGGAGTCCCGGATGCCAGTTTAAATCTATGCCAATTTATAGCACATAATTATTAATAGACTGCAATAATATGAAGGAGAAAATAAAGATTTTTGTTATGATTAATAATAACAAATGGTGCCAAGCGGAAGCGGCCAGTGCCGTTAGATTCAATTCACACTAATTTGACGTTTGATCGATCAATTTATCTAGCACAAGGCTAAACGATGAAAAGTGATAAAAGAAAAAATCATTAGGTACAGCCGTTATGGATAAAAACACGGCTAGGTTGAAGGTGACTGAGTGTTGAACTCCTGACGTTTATGGTGATTTTACTAGTACATTTTTGGAATCAGGTCAAATGTCACAAAATATTTTGAAAAAAATAGTCATTGGGTTGGACTAATCCTACTAGTCCTACTAATATTTTATTATTATATTATTTGTCTGTATATCAAAATTGTTTGTTTCCCTAATATAAATAAATAAATATTATAAATGCGAAAGTTTGTGTGGATGTCTGGATGTTTGTTACTCTTTCACGCAAAAACTACTGAACGGATTTTGTTGAAACTTTACAGTAGGTATTATTGTTTATAACCCAGATTAACATATAGGCTATAATTTATGACGATATGTGACAAACTAAATTTCACGCGGGTGAAGCCGCGGGCAAAAGCTAGTTAGTGATAAAATTTATACCACGGTTTACGCAAGGGACACTTGGGTAGCATTTTTTTTTTTACGTTCTTGTAAAATACGTTTCTATTCATCCCCAGTTCTTCTATCGGAATGGACAGAGAAAGCGGGGATACCCGCGATCAACGCGTAATTTGAAATTCGCGTTACAGAGAAACCGCGTATAACTTCAATATTGGTCAATAATTAAATACTGTTATGTTATCGAAAAACGGAATTTCCTTATAACTCCATTCGTGAAGACTGCTCATATGAATTTAAACAACAACTAACAGCTCCCTCTCTTTGTCCACAGATCAGACCAGATATGACCGTCAGATCCTGACAGCATCAAGCATCCTAACTATAAGCCAGCATTTAGTGTAAGCCAAAATGTCGCACCATTTCGTCACGGTGTGCCTATTCTGCCTTCTCTGCGCGGCGCACAGCTGCGGATCCCATATAGACATACAAAACGATGGAGTTTTAACCTTCGACCCTGCAACAGAAGTGAGACACATAGCTGTTATAGAAGATAAAAGAAAAGAAGACAGGTACCAGAGACTACAGAAGACTAAACACAGAGACAGATCCAAAAGGGAGCTTAGAAATGTGAACCCTAACGCGTATGTAGAGAAAATTTTCCGGCTGTACGGTGATGCTGCGAGCATGACCATGAATCTGACTGGGTTCAATACAATGCTGAAGAATTTGGATCTGGACACGTTGGTCACGGGTGGAGTTGAAAAGACTGAGAATATAGAATACATCGGCCAGACTGGCGCTAAGCAGGATATTGTAAATGTAAGTTGAAGATTTCTAGTTATTATTGTGTCAAACTTAGTTCATACAAAGTCTTTATTTGTTTTGTTACAGTAGGATCACTATGTTCCGCTAAAGAGCATACAATTTGTCAGACAACAATAGAAAATGGTAGTTATATTTACATTCATAATCTTTGTATCAGACTTAACGAACTAAAGTAACTTAATTAATTAATTATAATGAAACGTTATCTAAACACGCTAAGCCTTTCTTCTATTTAAAATCCTGATTGTAAAAAGTAAACTTGAGAATTCCAGACATTAATACATGTAATGCCCGTTTTCACCATCAATCCCTAATTTTAAGTGACCCCTTTGAAAACAAAATTCCTGTTATGTGTTGCCATAGGGGTCACTTAAAAATTAAGGATTGATGGTGGAAACGGGCAATTTTGATCTATAACCTTTCACAGTGACTATCGGGTTCGAACTGTTCTTACACACGAACCACTTGTATCGAAAAACTCTCAAAACTTTCATAGACAGCCTAATTTTTTTTCCAATATGCGACCTAACATCACCTTTTCTTTCTGCCCCCAGTGTGTCAGCAGTGCTGAACTAATAACCACAGTAAACACGCGGTTAAAACCGCCACACGACCACAACCACGACGTGGATGACCACGAAGCAGAGGGCTTCCTCTCACAAGACACCCTACAGGCCATCTGCCCCATACTGTTATATCAAAAACTAGCGAACACATCTTTAGAGCAACATGGTTGTGTAAAAGAAACCAATCTTCCCAGCAGAAGAGTGGAGGACAGGGATTTGAAAGAAAAAGAGAATGCGTACTCCAAAAACATGCTCGCAGTTTGGTTGTACTCCTGTTTAAGTATAGCCATCATCAGCGCTTGTGGGCTTCTAGGAGTTGCTGTAATACCTATCATGCATAAGACCTACTACAATCATTTACTGCAATTCCTTGTAGCGTTAGCTGTAGGCACATTATGTGGTGACGCGTTGTTGCATTTGATGCCTCATGCAATGAGTCCTATCGAGGATGACCATAGCCATGATCATGACCATGAAACGGCTGTACAAGTCAGTCATTCACATGATGATGGGATGTGGAAGGGGCTAGCGGCTATGATGGGAGTAGTCTTCTTCTATTTCACTGAAAAGGGTTTAACAGTCGTTGTGGAATGGAGGAAACGTCGTCAAAAGTTGGAAGAAGACAAACTTCCTCCCCGCGTCCGTGTGTTGAAAGACGAAAGTGTGGGTGGGTGCTCAGGTGGTGCTAAGGCTCCGATTACCAATTCCACGTCGAATTCTATAATGAACATCATAAAAAGAGACGAAAAAGGTGATCCTACAACAAAGACATGCAAGCATAAATATTCTGGATACCCTTACTGCTACGATGAGATTGATACTGATACGCATGATGATCACCATATGAGGGATGGTCAGATTCCTCCCTCTCCTAAAGCGAAGCACAATAATTCTGTCAGTGTAGTCTCTTCGAATGCCCTGAACCCTGAGGCTAAGGAGGAACCGACGGCCAAGGATTGGTTGCTGAAGGCTGAAACGCCAGCGGTGGTGGAGATGAACAACATCAAACATAAAGAGGATGGTGCTAAGGACTTGAAAGATGGGGACAGCTACACTGTTATATTGAGGTAAGTTACGCACTAGAATAGATTTCTTCAATGAATTTTGAATTTTGTTGGCTTTCAGGGATGATAGATCATCAAGTTAATGAGTATGACATGGCAGTTGCAATAGCTTCTATTTTAAAACAGACATTTTTAGTTTGATGTGCTGTCAAAGTACTCATGATTCATAATTAAAAATACTAGCTATAAATTAGATAAGAAGCTGGCCTATTTTCTTCCGCCTCTTCTCAGCAACAGCAGATATGTTGTCACAAAATGGCGGTAAGGCAAGCTTTATTTGGAAAGTTTATAAGTACCCTGGGCCTACTTACTCTGATATTTTTTACTATACTACTAACCAGCGTTTTTCGACCGTCGACTTCGAATGCTGAGCGGCTACCGAACGCCGGATCTACGCAGCAGCTTAGAGAATCAGTGCCTCGTCGAGGTTGCGAGACTAAGGCGGGTTTTAGAATCGCGCTGACCGCTCGCTGATCGTCGACGCTGACAGATCAATATGTATGTAATTGAAGGGAACGTTCCTGAGTGACGAACGAATGAAGGGAATGATCGCACGGCGCCGACGCTTCATACATTTCGGCTGTCAGCGCTGACGGTCAGCGTGACTCTAAAACCAGCCTAATACAGCGTTCGAAAGACGCTAGTATTGGGGAGGCCTAACCTAATTTGTTTATGACGTCACTTCCAGAGAGCACTCGCGCGCGCACCATGGTCATTCGCACGCGCACGGGCACGTGCACGCGCCGCCTTCCTCCATGTCCTCTGTCGCCTGGATGGTCATCATGGGCGACGGGCTCCACAACTTCACTGACGGGATGGCTATTGGTAAGTCAAAGATCCATCATTATCAGGTCATTTAGTGTCCACTGCAGGTGCCACCAGAACAGAGCTGTACCAGAGACAAATGGAGGATTTATCCCACTCCTTAAGGGCTCCACAATTTTACTGACTTGATGGCTATTGGTAAGTTAGTATTAAGCCCATCACATCAGGTCATTTAGTATCCACTGCAGGAGAACGAATCATTCTACTAGAGGCAAAGGGACGACTTAGCCATGTCCTGGGTCGCGTGGATGGTCATCATGGGCGACGGGCTCCACAACTTCACTGACGGGATGGCTATTGGTAAGTTTATATTTTGGTCTTGGGAATTGGGACATTCCCATTGGGAAAGGTAGCAGGAAGACGCTGGATGCAGGCCGCTACCAACCGTGCAATGTGGAAGTCATTGAGGGAGGCCTATATTCAGCAGTGGACGTCCTGTGGCTGAAATGATGATGATGATGATGATGAAATGGAGGATTTGGGCTAATCTCCCCACGCTCGCTATACAAGTTTATGCTTGTACTAGCATGTCCCTCACATTGCAACTTATTGCAAGTACCTAAGTAATGGGAAAAGGCTCCACATGATCAAGGAAGATAGGTTTGGAAAAAACTCCTGAATATTCCCTAATGAAGAAGGAAAAAACAGAAATAGTATATTTTCTTTAAATTCTCGATACAAAATATTTTACATTTTTAAGCTATTGCATCTGTATAAGTCTGTTTTTGCTGATTGGGATACTAGAGATACATAGGTGGATATTGACTCGACTTTAGGTGGCCTATACAGGGTGGCCAAAACAGTGAGGTCTAAAAGAAAAATTTAGATTCCTTACATCAAGGTGTACCTAAATCACCCCCATGTATATTATACGATTGTGCTTAGTTTAGGAGATAGAGTTAATTTTGTGATATTTTAAAATTTTATGACCTAGTAGGCTTTAAACATTTTTATCTATTTTTTGGGTTGACGTTTTTCNATCACCCGGTTTAAACCCAATCGGGTGAAATGGGTTTTTACCCACTACCCATCTCTACAGACCACCGATTTTTAGTTGGCCGATAGTTGTGCCCGATTTTAAATTGTATGAAGAATCGGTCAAATCAATTCGGTGTAATAGGCTTTTCGCCCAAATTTCAATAATTAGTTAATAATATACCTTGATGCCTATTTTATACAAATGCGCTCTTATTTTGGGAAAAAATCTCATCTCCAAGGATTATTTTGCTTTTTTAATAATATTTGACATATAGCCCTCAAAAACGCTCCCGACCGTCATGGCGTCTTGAATGACGTCACGCCTTGCAAAACACAGCTGTTTTAGTACGGAAATTGTAAAGTTAAATTAATTACAAATGGATCCATCGTATTTCAAGTCCTGTATAGTGCCCAAGCACAAGAATAAAAACGCCAAACAAGTTATTTATAGGTATACGTACCAAACAATCAGCAGATACGTAAAATATGATGTCCATTGTTTATCAACAAAATCAAGGATGTATTTTTGTGAAGATCATTTCAATGTAAGTTAGATATTTCACACAACATAATCTGATATCATGTACCTACATATTATAAAGAAATTGTTGAACTTTGTTTAAGAATAATGATAACAACAAAATGAGGTTAGGAACTATTCATGACATACCTATTTACCAACAAACTTCACTTTTTTTTTAATATAGAAATTCACGGCTCTGGGTCAAGACTTCACATGAAGAAAAGTGTTGCCAGTCGGATCTTGTCAGAAATTACCAGAAATATAAAAAATGTAACCTATTTTTAAAATGTACTCTCTCATCTTATTCATAAATGGGAAACTATAGTATTATTATATTATTTATATCACTTAGTTGTACTGTACAGTACCTATATCTAACATTATTTGCCAAAACTCGAGACATAATGTAAAATTATTTGTTGAGCCCTTTAAAGGAAAAATATCTACAAATTTCGAAAAATCACCTAAAAGGTTACAAAAATAACCTTCTAGCAACACTCAAATGTTGGCAATGACAATCTGGCCTAAAAGGGCTTGCACCCAGAGCCGTAAAAAACTATATTTAAAAAGATAGAAAAAATGACGTAACGCTTTCTGATTGGTGTTTGCTGTCACGTGACTTATGGGCCATTTTTTCCGAATTTATTTGCTAAAAATATAAATAATCTTTAATTATTATTTTATGTAGTTTCGTTTTTCATTAATTATACGACTATCTTAATAGTTATACAATCTTATACTGCAGATTTATTCACTATGTTTCTAGCAAAACTTTTGTATCTTGAATCAAAGATAGGAAGGTGATTATTTTTTTCAAACATCTGCAATTCATAACAAAGTCGAAAAAAAGAAATCTGAAAAAAGTCAACCCAAAAAAAAGATAAAAATGTTTAAAGCCTACTGGGTCATAAAATTTTAAAATGTCACAAAATTAACTCTATCTCCTAAACTAAGCACAATCGTATAATATACATGGGGGTGATTTAGGTACACCTTGATGTAAGGAATCTAAATTTTTCTTTTAGACCTCACTGTTTTGGCCACCCTGTATGATCTCACCAAACTACATAACTAAACCAAACACGTGCCTCCGATGTCACATTACCTACATCTCGCTGTAACAATACCGTGTAATGCGTTGCTATTTGAATTACGATAATAAGTCAATGTCATGTATTGTTTATGTTTGCACGCTTTGAAGGTAGAAGGTTTATTGATAGGTGCGACTTGAAGGTTGCGTGGAATTCTATATTATATTAATGTTCTGTACCTAAGCATAAATACTACAAGTCTCATCATCATTTAAGCCATAGGATGTCCACTGCTGAACATAGGCCTCCCCCAATGTTTTCCATGTTGATCGATTGGTAGCGGCCTGCGTCCAGCGCCTTCCTGCTACCTTTATGAGGTAGGTCCACCTTGTGGGTGGACGTCCCGTTGACGCTGCGTTTTCCGGTACGCGGCCTCCACTCCAGAACCTTGCAGCCCAATCGGCCGTCAGTTCTGCGTACTATGTGCCCTGCCCATTGCCACTTCAGCTTGCTAATCCTACTACAGGTCTAGCGGATCATAACTGAGTCAGTACCTGAGGTATGGGAGGGCACAGGAGGGTGTTTTTGTGAGGGCAAACGTCAGCGAGTCTTCAAATGCTCTGTCAGTCTGTCACGTCATAATTGACAATGTTATCGGCTCTCATACCTCAGATACGCGCTATACCTATCATTTCAAATATCCTTTTGTTTTGACTTCTCTTTACTACACTACTGGTACCAGTAAAATCAAATACAGCAGTAGATCCTGGATACCTACAGAAGTTGCAATGCTAGCAAACATGGATATCCCACAGCTGTAACCCTTTGAGCGCCAGTAACCCAACCAGTGAAGGTCAAGTTTGTCCCGGGGGAAAGTTAAACTGTCATTGGGCCCGCAACAAAATTAACCATAGGTTTCAATGAACTTGTGACTGATGTTATGTTGTTTTTTATTCCAGGTGCTGCATTCGCTTCAAACATAGCCGGTGGGTTCTCTACGGCCATCGCTGTTCTGTGTCACGAGCTTCCCCATGAATTAGGTAAGTTGGTGTAACTTCTAAATATGGGAGGACGTAGGGAACATAGTAGTAGTAACCCTTTTCAATCATGCCTACTTTGCATGAATGCTGAAAGTTGGGGTTCTTTTTTTTAAACCTTTTCACGATCAATTTTCTAGACTAGTTTTATTCTGATGTCATTGGCCAGTTTATGTCTTCTTCATTAATTTTATCACGACAATAAAAAGCATCCGACTATTTCTAGAAAAAATAGTCAAGCTTAGAAGCTCACGCGTTCGAGCTTAAGCTACCATTGTTTTCAAAATATCATGATATAGGTACTTTACCTTCGAACTCTTTTTCTTAGGTGTAGAATAAGTGGTCAAGCTCTATATCCTGATTGCATACTATGATCCTTTTTTATACTTGGAACGTATAACGAACATATGACCTCAATCGCACCTGATGTTAATGAGATGCAATCACCATGGATGGAGATGGTTCACCATGTTTCAACATACCCTATTCACTGTTGCCTTGAAGAGACCCTTGAGAGAGGAGATTATAGTGTTCAGGAAAATTACAGCGTTGGGTATTTGGAATTCTCCATGTAACGATCTATGTTTAACTTCCAGGCGACTTCGCGGTGCTCCTCAAAGCGGGCATGTCTGTCAAGCGAGCGGTCTGCTACAACATCCTATCATCGGCTCTATGCCTCGCCGGGATGGTCTGCGGAGTCTTAGCCGGCCACGCGCCTTCCGCCACCCGCTGGTTGTTCGCGGTCGCTGCTGGCATGTTCTTATACATCGCCCTTGTGGATATGGTAAGTGGGGGAATTAGGGGTGTTGTTTGAAATTGAAGTTTTGATGTGTTTGTCAATAAGGAAGGGGATAGGACTCAGAGTGGTACCTTGAGGTACACCACGGTATATTGCTGGCATGTTCCTATACATCGCCCTTGTGGATATGGTGAGTGGAAGAAATGGGGGTGGTGTTTGAAATTGGAGTCTTATTGTTTTTGTCAATAAGTAAAAGGACTGGACTTAGAATGGTACCTTGAGGTACACCACGGTATATTGCTGGCATGTTTCTATACATCGCCCTTGTGGATATGGTGAGTGAGGAGATTGGGGGTGGGATTTGAAATTGTAGTTTTGATGTGTTTGTCAATAAGGGAGGGGACTGGAGTTAGAGTGGTACCTTGAGGTACGCCACGGTTTATTGTGTGTGCTGAAGTGTGCTCTATAGATAGAAGGACTTTAACTTGAGACAAATAATTATTATTAGAGGCAGTGATATCATAGAGAATAAAAGACTAAAGCGTAACAGTATCACTATAGGAGAGACTTGAAATTTTCTTTGTAAACTAGGAAAGAAATTAGACCCAGTATATTGCCCTGCAGTACCCCACACTCCACAGTAATTCTTCAGTGTGCTGCAGAGTTGCCTTAAACATAATAATGGTCTCACTGTCCAAATCTTGATCTTTATTGACAATGCGCAAAAAGGCATTGATTCGAGTCTAGAGAAAATATAATATCAATAAAATTGTTGTATCTTTCTCCACAGATGCCCGAGCTCAGTACATCCCACAGCAAGGAAGGTACACTCTGCCAGTGTATCCTACAACTCCTCGGTTTGGCTTGCGGAGTTGGCATCATGCTGGTCATAGCCCTATACGAGCATGACCTGAAGAACTTATTTGGATAAGTGACAGTGAAGTGCGGTGAACGTGTCATGACAACTCGTGACAAAGTCATGTACAGTTGTGACAGTCATGAACGGTTGTGACAGTGGATTGTGGAACAGTGACAGTGAATTGTGAAACGGAAAAAAAATATCAAGAAAACTGCGAAAACTTCAAGTTGAACAGTTGGTATGGTAATATAAGTACTTACGAGCCTGTGGTATCAGTTTTTATTGCTGGACACATTTTGCTACTACACTACTTCCTATCAATATTAAATCAGTATATAAATTTGTATTTAATAAAAGTTTTCTGGCCTTCAATGTTTCAAAATGTTGGACATACAAAATGAGATATGAAGTTGAAGAAATTAACTGCTACAAAAATGGTGACGATTAAATCCAGTGAAATGTTGTGAAAAAATGCAATTGTGTCGGAAATTTGGTGCCAACAAAGTGATTAAAATCGGTCTACGAAAAAAAAAACTTAAAAAATAACCAGTGATATGTGTAGCGTAACTTAATTCTAAGTAAGTAGTGAAGATCCGTACTTAATATGGAATTACTTATTTTTGCCCGGGGTCTAACGGACCCCAACTGATTTTTCTGGGGTCTTACGGACCCCAAATGATTTCCAGTGATTGTGTTTGTAAATGTTAACTACTCTGTTTAAATATGAGCTATGTTTGAAATTATCAGTTATTAATTATTTCTTAATGTATATTAATTAATTAATAACAAGATGTATAATGATTGAATGGTATGTCAACTTATTGTGGGGTACTTCAGACCCCAATGACATTGATGCTTAAATCGAAAAACTGTTATCCTATAAATTATTTTAAGTTTTAAATAAATAATTAAAATTAAATCGAAAAGATCTCAGAGATGTTAACAGAATTGTTTGAAATCATACATTTTGCTCAAAATGTTCAAATTGTTAATTTTTTTCTTGGAACTCGAATAAATCTGGCTACATGGTTGTGTAGATAGTATTTAATTTTACTTATGTGTTTTATTTTTATTTCTAATTCATATAAAACCCAAAAGCCCTTTTATAAGCTACCAAAATACACAAAATATTATCAAATTGTTTGTCTTAATACATATGAAAATATTGAAGATTTAATTATTAATTTCTGGTAGTTGTAATTATGATATTTAGGTACACACTGACTTATTTTATAAGAAAAAAATATTAATGTGCATATAATTTTACACACTCAAGCATAAGTATTTCTTTTTCAATTTATTTTCTCTTCAGAGACAAAAATTAACATATATCAAGAATTATAAATGCGAAAGTAACTGTCTGTCTCTCTCTTTCACGCCTAAACCACAACAGATTTTGATGCAATTTGTCATAGAGATAGTTGGAGTCCCGGGAAAGGACATAGGATAGTTTTTATCCCGGTATTTGAAACGGACGCGCGCGATAAAGTTTTTCTGTTCAGACAACATTCCACGCGGGCAAAACGCTAGTATTATTATAAATGCGAAAGTAACTGTCTTATCTTGCTTTCACGCCTAAACCACTAAACGGATTTTGATGAAATTTGGCATAGAGATAGTTTGAGTCCCTGGAAAGGACATAGGATAGTTTTTATCCCGGTTTTTGAAACAGGGACGCGCGCGATAAAGTTTTTCTGTGACAGACAAAATTTAGACAAAAGCCGCGGGCGGAAAGCTAGTGTAAAAATAAAACTCAAAATAGTAAATACAATATATTTGTAAACAAAAGATTACAAAACTGTCTTAACTAAGGCGTGATTCTCTTCGGGTCGCGCGGGAACATGGACGTCTTGCGGATGTTCTCCAGGCCCAAGTACAGCATCACCACTCGTTCTAGGCCGATGCCGCCACCTGAGAGAATAGGCGATTCAGTAGGAGTATGAAGCCCGGTTCGTGAGCACGTAGAATTTTGTCCAATGACCCCAAGCTACCCATCCTTATCACTCGCGCGTAATTATGTTGCTGTCGCGCTCGCACACTCACTGCGGGCGCCCGTCGCACAGTCGCGACAGCAATATAATTACGCGCGAGCGATAAGGATGGGTAGCTTGGGGTCATTGAACTAAATTCTACGTGCTCACGGACCAGGCTTTAGTACAGTTTATGAAGATTTATTTACTTGCTAATTTCATAGTCAGTTTGATATTTGATGTTGCGACTTTGTTGTATATTTTTTATTTAATTTTGACGATCACATTACTGATCTCAACATCGATCAGAAGGCAAGATTGATCTTAATTTTATTATACAAATGATCTTTGGAAATCTAATAATCGACCGTTGCAGTAACGAGAGATTTTGTCGCATCACTAGTAGATCAACTGACATATAGTTCCAAAATACTGAACAGTAACTGTCCTATGCATGACATTGACAGTGGGGCGCCACCGTCAATACCGGAACGCTGGTTCCGATTTTTGCCATGTTGGAAACCATATAGTTGAACGATGGTAGCGCCCCCCTGTCATTGAGTTTGGCGGGACAGTTCAGCGTGGGTCATCTATACCTAAATTCTTTAGAAATTTCCTCAAATGTAAACAAACACTTGTGCACACAATAACACCATAATCACTTACGTGTTCATAATATCATACACATTATTTCACAAGCCCATGAAACCAACTTTATTCTCACGATTATACAAGATTGGAATCAATCTTTAAACAAATTATTTTAGCAAAATATGTGGACGTTGAAAATTTGTGAGACTTGTCAAATTGACTTGAAGTTTAAAATTATGTGATAAAGATGACCCACGCTGAACTGTCCCACCAAACTCAATGACAGGGGGGCGCTACCATCGTTCAACTATATGGTTTCCAACATGGCAAAAATCTGAACCAGCGATCCGGTATTGACGGTGGCGCCCCACTGTCAATGTCATCGACAGGACAGTCCAGTATTTTGGAACTATATCTCCATGTTGTCTCTGACATATCAGTGTTGTAACCTGTAAGTCATAGACAATAATTGGTAAATTTAATCGATTTTATTTCAATTATTCAATCATTTTTATTATTGATTGCATTTAAATAGATTTAAATAGGGTCTTAATCAACAATGTATTTTTTCTTCATTGAATTTACTACTAATTGTTTAATGCACTGCTTTATAAAGCATTATAGGTACGTAAGTACTACAATAATTTCAATCCGCGATTAACGAGAGGTTTTGTCGCCTCACTAGGGCACAGATTATAAATGTTTTAATGTCAGTTGGCCATATTTGTTTACATATAGGGAAATTTCTAAAGAATCCGACTTTAGGTTGCACAAGAGTTAAGACAATCAACACAAGCAAAGATTTTGTATCTGTATACGCTTGTCGCGCTGACGTCTTGCATATATGTGCCTGTTTTGTGTACAGAATAAAAATACTAAATCACTGAGTACAATAATAATATGTGCTCGCCCCAACTTTCGTTGTGCGGCTTTATAATATATGGACAGTTGCAACAAAATCAGTAGACCACATCAGCAAGAGAACAATAAATATAGAGTGGTCCAGACCAGACTGATTTGCTTTGAAAGTTAGCTGGACCCATCAGATATCGCCAGGAGAAAAGTGTTAAAAATATTTTATTTTTCACTTTTATACACCCTTGGCTTTAGAGGGCAGGGCAACTTCATAATAAAAAAAATATGTCTGCTTTGGACTATCCTGTATACGAGTTTAATATCTAATAAACTAAGTACTTGTCCGACACGCAAGAAAGTGATTCTGGTGCTCAAATGATAATACTACCCTTATTATGGACTAACATCAAAATCGGGAAGAAAAACTTACTTTTCCAAACTAACTGACTGATTAGATGTAAAAAATATTTTATTATCATACGCATGTATGCACATTTATTATTAATCTCTTACCAGCATGCGGCGGGCATCCCAATCTGAATGACTCGATGTAAGCCGCGATTTTGCTTATATCTGAAATGAAATAGTAATAGTATTATTCATTAATGTAGTAATAATATTGTCACCCGGCAAACGAAAAGTCGAGGGTTCGATTCCCACCTACGATTTTTTCAAGTTCAAGTTATTTCTAACTAGCTTTTGCCCACGGCTTCGCCCGCGTGATAATTTGCTTGTCACAGAAAACTTATAGCGCGTGGCCCCGTTTAAAAATTGGGATAAAAATCTATAACAAATTTTATCAAAATCGGTTCAGTGGTTTTGGCGCGAAAGCGTGTGGCGTGACAGACAGTTATTTTCGCATTAAAATATTAGTAGTTAACCCTAAAAAAGGGCAGCAAGGTTCTGGAGTGGAGGCCACGTACCGGAAAACGCAGCGTAGGACGTCCACCCACAAGGTGGACCGACGACCTGATACAGGTAGCAGGAAGGCGCCGGATTCAGGCCGCTACCAACCGGCCATTGTGGAAATCATTGGGGGAGGCCTATGTTCAGCAGTGAACGTCCTATGGCTGAGATGATGATGATGATGAGCGCTTCGAGACCAACATTTGGCAGGTGCTGAGAAGAAGCGCCGCAACAAACTCAGTCACCACTGTCTGCCGATAAGCCGTCTAAGATGCAACTCTTAGACTAGGCGCAGACCACTAGAGATGGGTTTCCACCCGGGTAAAAACCCACATGAGGGTAAAAACCCAATAAAAACCCGTTTCATTCCACCCGTGGGTGTTTACACCGGGTGAAAACAAATAATTTTATAATTATTTCAATTGGTATCTTTTCTTTATTTTTATTGAATTTTTCTCATTTAAGTTTATTGATTAATAAGTAATAAATCAAATTTAACACTAATATGCATTTATATCGTGGCCAAATCGTAAAATTGATCACGTTATGATGATGTGACCAATCCCAACTAATATTATAAATGAGAAAGTAACTCTGTCTGTCTGTCTGTCTGTCTGTTTCGCTTTCCCGCTTAAACCTCGCAACCGATTTTGATGAAATTTGGCATAGAGATAGTTTGAGTCCCGGGAAAGAACATAGGATTGAATAACATTTTTATCCCGGTTTTTGAAACAGGGACGCGCGCGATAAAGTTTTTCTGTGACAGACAAAATTCCACGCGGGCGAAGCCGCGGGCGGAAAGCTAGTTATTTTATAAAATGGTGTTCTTTCAAGAATCGTTGAACCGATTTAGAAGAAATTTAGTAGGAACACAATCATTTGTGATCATGGCAAGGACATGGAGGGGGGGAGGGGGGGATGCCAAAGATGCCAAACTCTCTCTTTGATGACATTACGGTATAAAGTTACAAATAACAACACCAACTACAAAGTACTTCTGCTTAAAAACTTGAAATCGAACCGCCCTTCCACCACTATAACGCATTGTAACGTTTTTTAAGACCTCCTCTCCCCCCAAATTGCATTACGTAACACTAGAACGCCCCCTTAGCAACAAATACCACTTCTCACTTTAAAAAAACGTTATTTTTGTTTTCACCCACCAGAATGGGTGATAATGGGTAAAAACCGGGTTTTTACCCAAATCACCCAGTTTAAACCCAATCGGGTGAAATGGGTTTTTACCCACTACCCATCTCTAGTTGCGGTAGTACGTGGTGACCTGGAAGTGACATAAGATTCCACGCGTAAGTGTTTATTTCGTGATTTCCGATATTGGATCATTGTAAACATTTTTCACATTTTTTACAGTAATTTCTTCCTAAAAAGTTTTACCAGTATTTACACTTATCATTTTTAATGATACCTATGTCAAGAAATAAAGATTTTACATTGAGTTTCATTGAATTTGAGCAAATTTGTATTTTTTGCTTATTTAGAAAGAGAGAGTCTGCCCACAGAGAGCGAGATAGTGATACATAGTTTGTGCTTCAAATAGGTATTCGGAATGTGGCCTCCATTTTTATCTGTAGCTTCATGGTGCTGCATCTATCTATATCTGTGCTACTCTCACTCATCTGTGGTAATCACAGATATGGATAGATGCAGCATGTGTCAAAAATTGTATGAAGCCGAGCGTGCCACTTTTTAAACG